AAGGGATGCTCACAAGGGAGGTCGTTCAGGGCGTGGTGCGCTTTTCGAAAACGGTTTTTTGCATATTGTGGGGGCTCATGCAAGGACCTGAAAAGTGTGCTTCATTTTCGCTGCGCGCTTCCAGGAAAGGTAAAAAACGAGTGAAAAGAAATCTGTGGAATCTGCTTCGTTCTGGGCCTCTATGCGGCGTAGGTCACTTGCAACTTTGACCAGTTGCTGAGTGGGGGGTCCTTATAAAGGGGCCATTGAATCGAAGCGAAAAAATCGCCGCTGAGTGAGCTCCCACGCTTGGGCGGGTTCACGTGCTCAGCTGTGAAACGGCTTTCCTTGCAATGGTTTCATCAACGATAAGAGCGCTGCATTAGTCGAGCATCGGATGGCCTAGCGGATAGAGTGGTGGTTTCGTAATCGGACAGTGAGGGTCTAGTTGTTGGTTCGACGCTCCCCTTGCGTCGTGGCTTTTTGCATTTTTTAGATTTCGCTGTTCTCGCTTCCATTTGTGTCTGCGCATGAATATAACTCGGATATTTGCCATTTATGGGCCACATTCTGATAGTACTACCTCATGCAGTCAGTGCAGCTATTCAACTATGTGCGATTTTCACGAACATTGAACAAGATTGTTGCTGGACGTTGATCCTCATAGGCTATACAGTGGATCTGATTGCGAATTTAGTAACTTCTGGTGTGGTGTCAATTATAGACAATTTGGGGCCACATCTTCTTTCCAGTGAATTCGTTATGTACACCCATGTAGGGAACGTTCAGCGCTATTCTGTCGCCAAATTGCGTGGACGCCAAGAATAGGTGTTATATTTGTGATCAGGGCCACTGATTACCACTAAAAACGAATTTTCAGTCAAAACAATTGTTTTGACCTTCTTGGGTTTGCTTATTGGGTTGTCCGGTGTCCGTAGCGTCAACGATACGTCATCGCTGTTACGAAGATGTGAAACTCCGCTCACACTGCCGACCAAATGGTCGGCCACCTACAACCCGAAAAAGTCAAAAAAAATTTTTCGCTCAAAACTTGCTCCTAGGGGTAATCGACAGTCCTGATCACGATTCTAGACTTTATTTCCGGTTCCAGTGCCATCTGGCGCCGGCATAGTGCCGAAGAGCTGAGTCTGTGCATACTAACGAATTTCAAAGCGAGGCAGTTTGGCCTCCATAAAAGGTAGGCGATTGATTCAGATTCATCGTGAATGTTTTTATTAGGACCAATTATTTAGACAAACATGGATAAAAAAAAATTGTAGAAAAGCAAAATTTTGTCCTCGGTGGGATCCGAACCATCGACCTATTTTTTACGTTTTTTTTATTCGTAGAAGCGCGCAGCGAAAATGAACCTCAGTTTTCTGGTCCTCGTATGTGCCCCTACTGCACCAAGACCATTTTGAAAAAGCTCACACTCCTGAACGACCTCCGCTTGTCAGCTGTTACCTGAGTCAGAGTCAGCCTGGTGCTCTATGACAGTGGACAATACCGCCTTGCACCTCCCTTTCCCTCCCTTTTCTTCATCTTAATACTACCTGACACATGCTGTTATCTGTATAGATGTTAACTGCTGTTTAACGCCGCAGTGCGCGATACGAAAGTTATCACAAGAATGCTGAGTTGTGGGCAAAAGTCGGACCACGGACGGGATTCGAACCCGCATCTTCTGCTTACCGGCCGGGCGTTGCATTCCCTATTACGTTACCGGCCGGCCACTTTTGACCATCAGCCTCACATCGCTATTATGTTGCATTCGCCTGCGAGCACCCACGTTCAACGGGTGAGCGGTCTAGCCGATATTCGGCAGTGAACGCAAGGCTTGGATAGCTTTTACAAACTTTTAAGCTGGTATAACCCTGAAGGACAAAACATTACAACGTCTGCAAGGCGCCAGTCTTGGCCGATGTTGCGGAGGTGAATGCCGTCCCGCGGTTGCCTGTAGCGTGCCACTTCTCCGCTCACAAACCGATCACAGGAAGTGCCGGGCCGAAATTGTGGCTATTACCCAGGCGTCGTCTCCCGACTCCACCCGCGTTCTAGTCAAAGTGCAGCACCTGTATCGATAACAAAATCCCACAACGAACACATAGTCAGCAGTAGTGTGAACTACCAAGAGGTGAGGACGCACTGTTTTAGTTCAAACCAGTGTGATAGTACTCAAAGGACCCGGTCACCCCGCGGGCAAAGTTCTGTCTCTGCCGAGTTCTTCACCTGAACTTCGAGAGCTGGAACTGTAATGGAAAAACTCCTGGTCTATAAGGGTCTTTTAAGCGTCTCCACAATACCCAGTGGTGCAGGAGGGCATGGCGTATCCCAGAGGACGTGATAAACGCCCTGTACTTTTTTCATTCCAAGAATATTGATATTACTCACCATTTCCTTCACTAAAATCCACCAGTTTCGAGTTTGTGGGTTCTTCTGTATCGAAACTTCCGCCAGCACTTTGTTCAGCACCGCTGTTCGAAATTTCTAAATGTATTTTCATACAGAGTAAAATTCACGTGGATAGATAGATGGCTTGGGAAAATACCCAGCAATATGTGCACAATAAAACGCGTTTTAAAAACTTTATTCGTTTATACTCTGCTTTTTCGTATTCTTTTTGCTACTTTATGTGATCGTTCACGCATCATTTTGTGAGTAACCCGTACGGGTAAAATAGGTGGAGGAAGTGAATGGGATGGCTCTTCAACTGGTAATCCGATCGTTCGTCGCATCAGACGCTCCACGAACTGTTTCTTCAGTTTTGCGAAGCCTCCTGGTTTAGAAACCAGTGACAAGTCCATTCCTCTAGGTGAAGACCTTCGATATCAGGAATTTCCCGTAGAAGTTTCAAATCGTCGCTGGCGCCACTGGGAAGATATTTTGTGAGCTCTGTCAGTTTCGTGGCTACTTCGGATTCCATCCGTGAGGGCTTTTTGAAGACGATTAGCTGTTCAGATGGCTTTTCGGTGGTGGTGGTAGTAGATGAAGTGGTGGGAAGTCTATCCTTCCCTTTGTAGACCCTGCTGTGGAGCTTTCGAATTTCTTCACTGCGTTTCTCGTCGGATCCTTGCGAGCTCGCCTGGAATCTGGAGGTTTTCCTCTTCTGTGCTGTACTAACCAGACCGGGTGGGTAAATTGTTGCTAACGTGTCGGGTTTCTCCGTCGTCATCACCATACCGAAGATATTCCTCATTGAGGTGGGAGTGGATAATTCTGCGAGAGGTGTGGGGCTGAAACTAGGTGGGAGAATTGTTGTGAGCATGTCTTCTTCATCAAGAAGCCCGAACTTCTTCGCAAGCTCCACCAAACTAGGCTCAGGTGCTGGAGCCAGAGTTACCGGATCCGTATTGTAGAAATGAGAAGCAGCCACAGGAGGGGATCGACGAAATTCTTGGGATGCCCCAAGGGCTGACTATTTAGCACGGGAGACGCTTGTCCAAACACTCCATTGTTCTCAACTGGGCCTGGCGCATCAGGTTGAAGACTGCGCACCAGAATGGGTATGTACGGTAGGACTGGAACAGTTTGCTTGAGAAGAAGCATGAAGTTTGCCATTGGATCAGTTGTGGAACCTGTGCTGGGCGTCGTCGTGAATAAGGACCCTAGATCTATGGCACTGATTGTCGTAGAAGTGGTAGAAATCGCTGTGGTGGAGACCTCAGTTGTAGTTGTTGGGATAGTTGTAGTGGCTTCCTGTGTCACACTGGAGTGCTCTGGGAGCTCGCTGTCCCCAGGTGGGGATTCTGCCATTTTCTCTTCTGACTGCGCCACAACTATCATCGTTTCTCCTTTGTAGCGATCCGATCGGCGGATTTCTTGCCAATCGTGGAAGCCGATCAAATGTGGTGTCAGCCTTTTTTCCCGTGTTCGATGGTTGGGATCATCTGAAAGGACCTGTTTTGGACGAGTATTCATGGTTCACGTGGTTTATTTTTTCTGAATGTCCTAGGACGTTTTATTCCAAGCAAAACTATTGAGAGCATTGTGGAAAACAAACGTCCTTCCTTTACGTTTATGAAAATTTTTCACATATAAAGCGAGTTCGGGCTTTTTTCAGTGAAATTAATATTATTACTGCAACAGCTATTTCCTCAGGTTTCAGCTGTCGCAACAACGTAATCGGGTCTAAGGCGCAGTTGATATGGTCGCAGTCAGTGTCACGGGGGGGGGGGTCTTGGGAATGAATCTGTCACTAAATAGGCGGTCGTTGGTGAGCCTCACCCCCAATCCTCTGGCACCACTCCGACTGATTGCGACGATATCAACATTTTGGGGAGCATTTGGCAGCGCGAACATTTCACTCAGACCACGTCGTATTTCGTGGGAAATCCCCAGCGGGGGGTTTCGTCGCTGGGGAGCAGGGAGCCGGGAGTCGTATTTGCCTGCGAGAGAGATTTGCGGCGTTGGGAAAAGTTTCCTCACCCCCCCCCCTCCCCTCTCCCTGCTCGACAGCAACATTTGGGGCAAAAACTAGAAAATTTTCGGATTCAGTAGGATTCGGTAGGATGTTGTGGAAATCTAGGAAACGGGGGGTCAGGGCGGGCGAAGAGGGTCGTATTAGCAGGAGAAAATTACTTGGAGTCATGTTTTCCGGAATTTTCTTCGCGTTTGTGCAGGGTCCAGGCCATCTGTGTGAAACACATGGGGTTGGGGCCGCTGGAGGCGGTCGTAATTGGTCGTTTTGAGAGAGGGCATGGGGTCGTATTGTCTTTGAGGAAGAATTTTTACGCGTTGGAAAAAATTCTCACTCTTGTGTTAAAGCCACAGTTCGCGACCGCAAATGCTGCGGGAAACGCGAAATGAAATAGGACAAAAAGTGCCTACAGTATCTGAAATTAGCGGGAATGAAAAGCCAATTCAGTAAAAAGGCAGATCCGAAATGCTTATAGAGAAGATAACTAGTGGGCCTTACTAGCTAGTAGCTAGCAGCCGGTGAGGTCGGCATGGGCCTAAGGGGTGTCCATGGGCCTAATTAGCCAGCTTCTAGCGGAGTTCTTGCCGTTTTTCACATTTTGAAAGTAGCGCAGCCTCAAAAATCGCCTTCCGGACCGTCCGACACATTTGAGAGGTCATAGCCTTATTTTATCCGCGGAATGTGCTTGTAAGTTCTACTTGTAACTATTTTTCCGATAGTTGGAAACAGTAGTTGGTTTTGTGGATGACCTCCTCCCCTCCCCTCCCCGTCCCCCTTCCACCTCCGCTCGACGCGGAAATTTTTGGGCGCGGTCGTGAAAAACTGGAATATGTGGGAACTTTCGGAAAACTGGGAGGAAATTGGGAAAGTGAGGAAAGTGAGGTAGATGTGTGAGAAGGGGGGGGGTACCGAGGCCCCCTTTTAGGTGGCGTCGTACTGACACCATCATTTCCACATAGTCACATCGCTGTACACCTGGTTGCAGCGACGTGGCCCTCGACGCCACGTCATATATCTGCATTGTCTGCGCAGGCGCTGTTTTCGTCCCCCACCCCAATACTTTTCTTTCAACTGCTCTCCTAAGAAGTCTCAGAAGCTCAACGAAGTCTATTTCGTAGCAGAACCAAGATAAGAGGTGCGGGTATGTGACAAGACAATCGTAATATGCCGCGCTGGGCGTCGCGAGCAACGCCGTTCTGGAAAAAAAGGCCGGTCTGGACCAATCGAGTTCAAATTTCAAAGGGACAGGAAAGATCGAAACAAAGTCATGCGTACGGAGGATTCGCCGTGCATCGCCGCACGATGCGGCATACGCGACAGTACGGCAGGTTACGATTGTCTTGTCCGTCTGCCAACGGGTACAGTGAGTAGCAGCACTGTAATCTAACAGCTATAAACCTCTTTCCCTAGGGTAAACTACCCTTCCTTAGCTTCTGCGCTTTATGCTTATGGATTTTTAATCCGGCGGTGCGGTATGTTCTATCAGATGAAACACTACTCACCGCAAAGTGTTGAGCTGTACTCGATTTCGGTAAGAGCGATCACATCCATAGGTGGATAAAATGTTCCTCGAAAGATCAACTGGAATGAGAGCATTCTTCACCGCAATCAGCGACTTCTGTAAATTTCACGGAGTAATCACCTCAAAAGGCTGGGACAACGGCGGCAACTCAATCACGCGAAAAATCCATTGTTGAATGAAATTCGGCGATAATCCGTCGTAGCATCTGAATATATGAAGGAAAGCTATTCACTGCATCTCAGAATCTTCTGAATAAGAAAAAAATTACGCTGAAAGTTACAAAGGTGTTGCATCAAACTCGAAAGATGTTTAGAATTCAGTTCCTCTTGAACGTACATCCCACGCTGATTGTGTGGGCGGAGTCAGGCCCAGGCCCATTACTATGCCTTCCTCGGCAAGTGGCACGCTTACCACCCGCGCGGTTCCGAGTTCAAATCCGGGTCGACTCCTGCCCAGACCAACCAAGCCCTCTACCCCGCGGAGTAACGGCGTCTGGGGGGATGAGAACACTGACTTGTACATCGGCTGCTCCCCGCAAGCCGCATCCCACAAAGAGATTGTTCAACGACTGAGACGTATCCTTTTATCCTTTATATACCCCCTGTCAACGAAAAACTAAGGAATTTTCTGGAACAGGGGCGGTAATAAGGTAGGAAAGAATTGGGACTGATAGAATTTAGGAAGGTAGAGATGGGGAGGGGGAGTCGTACCAGAGAATATAATTCCAAGAGAATGGGGAGTGGGACGTATTTTACAAGATTTTTACTAACCGACGGGGATGTGCCCTGGTTACGGTTAAGTGCTTGGATTACCGAAAATGGCGCACCTTGAGAGCTTGGCA